GCCTTTTAAATTGCCAACTCATTATTGTGCGTTTCTTTCTCGGTTTTATTGTACAAACAAGGAAATGAATGTAAGCGAGGGGAAGAACAACGCCAAGGTTTTTGCAATACACTCGATGACACACATCCATCAGTCGAAATGGGTGGGTATTACTCACACGCCGGTAAAGTGAACTTGATGCACGGGGTCCGGGGAGCTGGGCCCCCCTCCCCCATCAATAATAAACTCGGCTGGGGGGAGGGGGTAAAGCTGAACTTGGCCGACTTCGCACACATGGATCCGGGCCCGGGCGTCTTGAGCTGCCCTCAAAACCAGGAAGCTCCGAATTGACAGATCCCAGTGTTTTAAATTACAGCCGTCACTTTTGCAACTACACAGAATGAGGCCTGACGGGCCCTTGGGACGCAACGCGTGGACCAGGCTCTGCGGCTGTAGTAGCAATCTCTACCCGACTGTTCCTCCCGGTGTGAGGCGGTGTCCTCTCCCCCGTCTCAGCGCATAACCACCATCTTCTCCTGATATCCCGTCTCAGGAAACCCTGCTGCTAGGATGATGTCTCTGGGAGGAAATGCCGACTGACAGACGTCAGTTAAAAGGCGATGGAAGACCAAGGACGAGGGCAAGAGTGAGGGGGGCCTAGACTCGGCCTTGCTCCCTCGATCTACCTCCCCACTTCTCTCGCCCGTCACTCCCCGTCTCTGCCCATTAACGCTATGATTTTTTTCGGGAGTGCCCTGTCATTTTTCTTGAAGGTCATGATGCAAGACCGCACACTACACATCTCCTTTTGATTAAAGCAAATTAGTGACTGAGTTTTTCCCAAGAAGCCGCGGCCTATTACACTTTCGTGTTTGCCACGTTTCTGTTGGCATTTTCAAAGCTATTAACCACCCGCCTTCACTCTTCAACTATACCTCGTCATATTTTGTCTCAAGGTCGCAGTGCTTAAAGTCGCCCCCTGTCTTCCGTAACCTTTCAAATAATTAGGCCTGAGGCTCTTTCCATTGAGAATATGACCATCCTGCCTTTTGATAGACAAAAAAATGATATCGTGACTGAAAAATATGCAAGATTACAAGACTTAGTCATGTATCAGATCAGGGTCGAGTTCAATAACGTCACGAAGTTATTCACTTATTGCAACTTGGAAAAGACTGTATTTCTGGGACTTCAGTTTGAAATTGCACTAAATTATCTACTTAAGTCCTTGTTCAACTCCTCCCCTTCTCGATTTGTTAATTAACACGAGAAAAACAAAAAGCTACTAAAAATCTCCACCTGTGGATTTCCCCCAATAGCAGCGCCATGCATTTTGTTTTTCATTAGGAGAGGGATGGGGGAAGTTTACCAAGCAAAAAGTTTCTACTTAAAATTTAGACGTAGCATTCTCCCGAGTTGTCGAATTTGTCAAGGGGGGGGGGGTACTGCTAAATCATATACAATTCCATGGACTACGCACGTATAGAGACACATTGCTGACTCAAAGACTGTGGTTGGGGAAAACACATTGGGTGTCAGAACCGAAACTGTTTCTGTATTAGACAATAATTTGTGACATGACATGTTCAACCAACTAGCGGGTTAGCCGAATATCTAGCATTTAGGCCTAACATCATTTGAACTTTTTTTTTATCTTTTTTAATCATCATGACAACAGCTCTGATCAACTGTCCGAAATGTTTTAGACGACTTAAAAGTAAACAAACACAAAATTAACAAACCACAAACAACCACACGACTTTTCAGGTCAAATGTTTTCACGACCTGGGCTCTGTACACATAGCTTATTTTTTGCATGCAAAATCGTATTTTGAACACTGTAACCGTTCCAAGATCTAAGGTCATGTTTACGTTTTATGAGCGCTGTCCTTGACAAACTCTTTGCCTGTCTAAGCCACCTAATTTGATAATTATTTTTGAGCAGCAACGGAGGGAGACCCAAAATGGGATATTTCCTCATCTCACACATTCTAAGCTAATCAGACCGGTCAGAAGATGTCCAAATATTTTCTGACGTGGTGTCCGTAGGGAATCTCAGTTGACACATTTTAGGCATTCATTTTTGGGTGCGTGGTCGGGCATTATCGTGAATCACCGTGGTCTAAATATGGCCCTTGAAAACATGAAAATATCGGAGAGACGTGTCAAAAAGTGCAGTGGCAAAAGTCTGGTCAGTGGAATGAAACCCCCCTCCCGAAAGAAAGGGGGATATCGTGGAGGAAGTTGTATTGATAGGGTAACATAATTATGTTAGTATAAACTGGTTGGCGTTTTCTTCAGATTGGCTTTATTTTACTTGAAGTGTGAGGTCTCAGTGTTGGCTTGTTGGGTGGTTTATCTGTTCGCTTATCCCTCTCATTTCGTGTTTTCGTTCAGTTTTCTACTTTCGTTTGCTGTTTGTTGCTGGCCCGTCATTTTGCAGGCGGTATCTTGACAGTCAATCAGTCAGTCACACCGAACTGTCAGTTGTATTTTCATGTGTCTGTAGGACTGTCAATCTGTGTTTTTTTCTTCTGACGATCGTTGAACTGCGAGCCGCTCTGGACGAACAAAACCCCTACATGACATGACTGTATCTGATGACCTGTCAAGCTGTCAATCCATCACGCCAAATCCCACGGGATGGGAACACTTGCATGAGACCATGCGGTGCTTCCGCGCTTAATTCGTTACATCTACGGGATGAAATGCCAAAATTCAGTTATTGATATATGGCGCGCGCGGAGTCGACGTGGTTTCCGCTCGCTTCAATCTGTCACAGCAGTTCGCAGCTATGCAACCCAAGAGCCAAAAATACGTCTTGCCAGTATTTGAAGAAAAAAAAACCTGTTTGCCGTTCGGGGGGAGGACCATTATCAAGGCAGGTCATGGGTGAACTTGGCCTTCTGGTAGTGGTCAATAATTACCACGGAGATGCCATTATGCTTAATGACAGTAATTATACAGCTCTTTTCGATGAGCTGGTCGGCCGGATCACAGGCTGCGGGTGATTAGGGGTAATACATCTATGAATAGATTAACCACCGTGGCAAATGAGCAGTGCGTGCCCAGACCTCGTGAAGGGATGGACTTGTGAAATAAATTCAGTGAAATCGCACGCATCATCCACTGATCACTCCCGCCATATCTCACTTTCTGAGAGTGCCGCACGGCTGTTTCATGATCGAATCCAATTTGAAACGTAGGAGACAAGGAGATTACCCGCAGTCGACGAAAGAAGGTCGAGCAATCTTTTTAATGTAGGCTTGTGCGTAAACTTGATTCAGAGGTTGTGTGAAGGCTGTGGTGAAATATCTTGACCTGTGGTTTATTGTACTGTACAAAAGCCTATCAGCACATAAAGGACCCATGATGCACTGACAACAGATAGGCCTACTAACAGATGCCAATGACAGAAATAAATGCTAGTGTTTCACAGAGGGCTTTTCCATAGTTGTTCGCACAAGTAACATCAAGAACCGGGGGGGGGGAGATGTCCCCATCAGTGCTGCGGCCATACACCCGTCCTCGTAATGAACTCAGACATGGCCGGAAAGTCGTGTCAAATGTCTATTTGTCAGGGGACTCGACATAAACAAAGGATCGTGCATCCAAGATGGCTGCCAAGTCAGTACAATACCTTTGTTGCCGTTCTCTGTATGAATCAGAATTATTCTTACCTGGGCCAGCGACTTCTGATGAACTGACCGATATCTTTCAGTTTTGCGGACCAGAGGCAACAGTATGAGCACAACTAATGTTGGGATCTGGATCGTTCATCAGCTAACCCCAAATCCTTAGTTACGGATGCACGCATGCGCATATAGTGCAATATCCTTTGCGTATCTGTGAAACATGCTTTATGAAAAACTCTCTCCACGTTAAAAGATACAGTTTCGTTATAAAAAATGACAAGAAGAAGCAATACCGAGGAGGAACGAAAATTCTTGGCAACCGAAGGGTTCAATCTGGCCATTTAAAATGTGAAGGAAACTTATGAATGTACAATAAAACCGAAAGTAAACAGGGTAAAAAGACAACACAGTCATGATAAAACACACTATTTTTCCATTTAAAACGACAGTAAAATGAGTAAACTATGTCCAAATGGACCCACTGCACCACTACTCATGAGAAAAAAATTGTTGACAGCTGTTTGTGCAGGAGGAAAGTGATGTGGAACGAATTTCAGTGGGTAACATGTTCCACAAAGGCCCGTGCAGTTCTTCAAAAGGCCCCAGCAGCTGCTTGTGGTTACTGCAAAATAAACTGTCCGCTATAGTGAGCAGAGGTTATTTGCTTCCCGTCAAAAAGTGATGAAACTGGGCCAAGGAAAGGACTTACTGTCTGTAAAACCCGAAGGAACTTTTGGTACGCGAATTAAAGGGTTCGGAAAGTTTAATGCAGCATGCACGGCGCAACAACTCGTCACTCAAGAGGTGAACAACGTCAGGAAAGTGGTGCGTCATTGGACAGCTGAACCACTGAACTCGTGGCTACACTTGCAACGAATGTACATGTACTCTTCATCTTTTTTTCTGGGGTAAGCAATGACTTATGGCTTGCGCTCGGGTGTAATACTGATTCCGAGTTACATGCCTGGTGTACAATAAAAGAAGTTATGACAAGTGAACTGTACTTTTTTCAAGATGTATTTTTTTTGCGTTGGGGAGATGTTAATTTATATAACGGGTTTTGCCTTACCCAAAGTATATATTAATAAACACTGTATGCTCAGTGCTTGTCCGAGGGCAAAACCCGTTACATAAATTAACATCTCCCCAACGCAAAAATACATCTTGAAAATAGTTCGCGGTACCCGCTTGCTTCACCTGACTTGGACCGGCCAGCCGACCCAGCAAGCTCGGTGGTTGAGTGGTTAAGACGTCTGCACCAGTAAGCAGGAGGTCGTGGGTCCAATCCCACCCGAGTAAGCTTGTGACTTTTTTCGCAAGCTCTCGGACAAGCACTGAGCATACAGTGTTTATTAAAAAATACGTTGGGTAAGGGCAAAACCCGTTTTATATAAATGAACTGTACTTGGTGACCACTCAACATGAAGATATCAAAGAAAACTGCACCATTCACGGTGGCATCTTTTTGGGTCGATGCGCTCTTACCACTGGATTTTGTTTTTATTGTATTGTACAAGCAATGCTTACCCAGTCAATTTGACTACTCAATCACTGGTTTTGCTATGCCACACAGAACAAGGGTCACGGACAAGTTACTGAAGTTGTAAAGAAAGTGGCGACAAAAACAACCATATCAAACCTCATATGATGGTAAATGCAGTTTGTGTTACTTGAGTTCGCTCAGTGCTTTCAGAAAGGCACGCATGATAGCAGAAAGATCCATGAGAAGGATTCGCTGTGAATACAGCAGAGGGTTTGTGGTTCACACATGACCAGATGCCACACGAATACGTTAAAACTGCACCAAGACTGATGGCAGAAATGTATTCACGACTATTCTCAGAGAAAATTCATGCAGTTGTTCTGCACTCACTATGTAGCAAACCGGTATTTTCGTACTCTTGTTCCTGATCTAATATCTTGCGTTCGAAGATAATGCTCGTTAAAATCTACTTCCACGTGCAACCCCACGAAAAAATATTACCCCGGTGGTGATACTGGAAGCCTATCTATTCCCAAAGATACTCGAGTACTCAAGGCCAGTGTTGTGTGCCTATACTCCAGAGTTGCGACGAAACACTGATTTTTGAGACTCGAGTTGAGTCAAATCGTTGTAATGTAGTGACTCAAGTCGAATCGTTGTAATGTTGTGACTCAAGTCAAATCGAGTCGATAAGCAACAAAAGTCAAGTCGAGTCGAGTGGAGTATTGAGCTCGAGTCACCAATATATGAACAAACTACATTAACTAAAAACAAAGGAGAAAGTCGGTTTTGGGCATTTTCAACTTCACCTCTGGGTTTCTATATGTGGTCACCATATTTACTTACCTTGATGATAGTAGCACATGAAGTTTATAAATCGGCACTGTAAATTATTGCAAATATTTTTTTCGCAACAAGTTTGCTTTACTTGGGGTACTCGATACTTATTAAATTTCACTCGAGTCGGGTATTCTGACGAGGGACCCACGTCGAGTTGAGTCATTTGCTCACAGTGTCTCGAGTAGAGTAGTCATTTACCCGCAGGGACTCGAGTCAAGTCACCCAAAAATGTGACTCGAGTTGGACTCGAGTCATTACAACTCTGCCAAGTTCCAAGGTATAAATCAATTTCTTTTTTACTCTAACCAATAAACTGAGCCTCGAACTCAGCTGTAACGGACTCGAAGTCCTATACTCTCAAAAATGTGCATGACTATCGCAATGTAAAGGAATACCCCCCTTTAAAATGCATCAGGGTTTGAAATCTAGTCAGTCTCAAGTCTGTTGGCATCATCCGCACATGCTATCGGGCGGATGAGTCCGACGGCACGTCCGGCCATCACCGCCCCGTCTCCGCCGTCCATTAGTATTCCGCACCGGTCGTTACCGATGATAGAAAAACTCATTTGGAGTGGCCGTCGTGATTTGATGTCCTCTGATCTCGCCGGGTAGTCGATTCCCTCAGCGGGACGTGCCCGCGACACCCTCCGCAGTAGTCTCCGGCTCGTGCACGATCCTCCTGCAGGAGATCAGGTGGGCGAGCATCCCCTTGATTAGGGCAGAGATCGCTCCCATAGATCACTGTCACTGATTGGCGCATGGTGGACGGGAACTGGGGCTTGAGGTGGAGAGAGGGAGGTCAGTGCCTCTCTCTGATTCTACCGAGGTAAGGTGATTTGAACTTGAGACGCCATCACTTCTCGGGTTCGGCTGTTAACACTGCCAACCATTTTAACGAGTTCCTAAATAACGTGGGAACAGAAATCTCTGTATCAGGTCAGCGCTCAGCAAAGTGCCGGCCTATTGAGATTATTCCTTGACATAACCAGACCTCACTGATTTGTATAATCATAAACCAACCTCACTGACTTCTGAGTATAACAAAAACAAACCACCTGATTAACAAGTCGCAGGAAGGCCCACTACCGGATAGCCTGACCGACCGAGGGGCATGACAAAAGATTATGACAAGGAGAAAGATCAATACCAATTTGTACAGCAAAAAAAAACCAAAATAAACTGTGTATTGCTTTTTGTCCTCTCTCACCTTGGTAACAACAGTCCTCCGCCCCAAGAGACACTGGCAGATTACAAAAACGAGTGATCTCTTACACTAACAAAACGCCCTCGCTGCATGCACGCCCAGCGACGGGCGGGGGGGGGGGTCAGGGCGAAACTTTCCACTCCTAGTCACGGCTCTCGACACGTCAACACTCATTTCAAGTGCCAACACTTGAAGGGTCTACTTTTCTTGTGAAGAGGATCTTTTAAGTCGGGTTCAGCGGCGAAGATTTTCGTTTTGTTTATGAGGGCTAGATGGCGACCTCTTCCCACCTTGTCGAGAAGCATCTCGGTGGCTGAGGTTTCACTGCAGCTGGGCTGAAGTTAAGTATAGGCACGTATTGATAAATGACAGCAGATAACATACCGAGATAAAGTTGTAACTATCAGTGTTGCCGCCACTGGATTTGCCTTTGGTAGAAATGGACTTTGAAAACTGCAGACCAGCGTGGATTGTGTTGGCTTCGCATTAACTCCATCTAATAACCACGACTAAAATTTCAAGACCTCATATGTAAAATGTTCATTTATGGACAATCCTTATCCTCAAAACTGTGTACCACTGACTCACAAGAATTGTTTTGGGAAGGGAGACACATCTTATATCTTATGTTGTAAATTCATATCCACCCTACATTCCAATAAAAATATAAGCGCAAAGTTGGTAACATTATTAAGACACGTCGGCCTCTCACTTTGACGATAATGGGCTCAGCCACTGAGCGCCAAATCACATCTAGCGACTAAATTCAAGCCCGCGGCTACTCAATCAAGCAATTTCTTTGCCTCGAAAATAAAATTTTTTAAATCCCACAAGAATTTCGGACAGCTATTTCGACCTTTAGTGTCCAGACAATTACAAGGCAAGTATTCAGCGCGAGCCGAAGACGGCAGAAAAGAGTAGCTTTCATTCGGCTTAGTGTTCCGTGCTTGAATTTTTCCCCAGTGGAAGAGCGGGGCAGCGGCACGGAACACAGAGAGAGACAGACGGAGAGATAGAGAGTGGGGTCTGCCAACAGTCTAACCCCGGCGTGGCCCCGCTAATGTGAAATACGGGCCACACTCCCTGCACTCCATCATCAGCTGAGCGGCGGCCGCCTCTGATCAAGCCCCGGCGTGTTTGGCTTCACTCTCTCCCGGCGGAGAAGAGCCTGCCGCGCGAGGCTCCAGGGTTTCGGCAGACAGCTGGGAAGTGTATTAAGGCATTTTAACCGAGCCTGACATGCGATGTATCATTGTACCATGTAATAAATATGAGCATAATTTGACCCCGGGGGTTGCGATCCATCATGACAGAGTGGGCCTGCTCTCTGTACGATCGGCGTCACGCACGGCTGAAGCAATTACACTCGATTGCTGACAGCGCGCATGCCCAGTGTTTCGCGATTGTTTTGGCGGGATGAACAAGTTTCACGACCGCAAGTCGAGTCCAACAAAGTATAAGAACCTGTAGAGAGTTGTCCACCTAATTTCGCTTAATAGCCATCTTTAAGGAATTTAATAAGATTACTTCATCAATGCCATCCGTCGTTAGGAGATGATAAACTCCACTAGACTGCAAACTGGGCCTCATGTCTTAGAAACACCATCGTTCGACAAGAAATGTTTCAGACAAATCGTGAACATCCTCCCTAAAGAAATTATTCAAAGAGAGACCGGATCAAACAAAATATCGATGAGTTTGTCAATAAAGCTCATTGTAAAATCTAATCACCACCGCCACACTGACCAATGTGCGTTCAATAGAGTACCGAAGTGTGACATCACTGTGAACCAGAGAGTGTAGTGCAAACGAATGGAGTACGCGCGCGTGTTGGTTCTCGCGCTGGTTTGCGCGCTGGTTCTCGCGCTAATGCCTTTTACACACTAATTGTGCGCGTGACGTATTCACTTCGGTAATCTATACGCTACAAGCATGAAGCTACATGGTTACAGGGCACTTCCAGTTCTGCACTGAGTACAAAGTGTGACGTCTTTCAGTGAACCAGGTGGTGTAGTGCAAACGAACGGAGTACGCACGCGTGTTGGTTCACGCTGGATCTCGCGCTAATCCCTTTTGCACATGCACATGTCACATAATATGCACGTGACGTATTCACTTCGGTACTCTATCCGGTTCGTTAAGTGTGACGTTAGTTCAGTTTAAACTACGCCCACTGCACATGCACTGCAGATAGAGTTATCATGTATTGATCGCCGTACATGGAACCATGGAACTGGAAGTCAACGCGCAACTTCAGCGATCGTCCAGTACGAACCGGATAAGTAAGAGTTTAATAACAAATCAACTTGACCGAATTTAACAAGAGGTACATGCAATCAAAGGGAGTTTTTCTGCGACATACCAAGGGCCTCTGCCTGATCTTCGCCAAAATCCGATTTAAAAAAACATGAAGCAACTCCCACACTATGACACTTACTAAGTGAGTCAAATCGACCGGCCGCGTCCTTGGGAGGCCGGGCCCAAATCACGGTCGACCGAGGCGGTGATATGTAGCGATCCAGCCCGCCCATTTCCGTCTGGTTTCTCGCAGGGTACAACACCACCGGCCCGGAAGTCATCTCTCATTCTGGAGGCCATTGCCAAACAAATTACCCCTAAGGATATCAGCGGCGCCACTCGAGGATTCGTTTCGCTTCGTTTCCCTTTTCTCTTTGAACACGACAAGCTGCAACTCAGCGACTGCAACTTTTAAATTTTATGATTTTCTCTTGATGGTCTTTACTGATAAGCAGAAGTAATGGCAGACGAGGGTACAATATTACAATTATTTATATTCACTGCTACAATTAAGAAATAGTCATTATTATGCATTCATATTCAGGGATCCAATCGAGTTTTTCTTTCACCAAAAAAAACCACCTGTTAGTGATCAATCTCAGAACTGCAGAACTGTTTGATGCTAACATTAATTCTACTTGTGGTGCTTCCATTAAGCCACTCGTGACTCGACACAACATGGCCTTCACTTATTACAGAACAGTTTTTGCAGTAAAAAGAATCTGCTAATTACCATGTAAAACACAGTTTATGGAAACACTTTTTTTGGTGTAGCAACAAATTCAAAAACACGTTCTTACGACTGAAAACAAGTGGTGTACACATCCCTGATGAAGTGAACATTTACTATAAGCAGTGTGACAGAATAAGTGTAGTGCGGGAAGACAGGAAAAAGAATATGTATTGTTTTTACATTATGTACGTGAAAATACAGATGTCTGCTCTGACCTGGTAAAAAAAACAGAATTCGCGTCTCATTTGCATCGTCAAATTGTCATAAATTTTGGGCCTGGTTTTCATCATTTTTACCAGGAAGCATTTTTCACCTTCCGTTGTCTCATTTGCATATTTTCATTAAAAAATACATCCAGGAGGGAATGAAACGCTAACTGCAAAGTCTCTCCCATCACATCCACACCCATTCAGCAACTGCGACATTGGCACATCGGCGGGAGAGATTTCTCATAAAAGTGGCGCCATCTCATTCAGGTCAAAATATGACGGCAGTCAAAGATACTGACAGTGCCATGGTGAAATAATCTTTGACTTATCGGCGAGACATGACAGGGAGACGAGGTTTTTGGTGGGTCCGCAGTGCATGCCGTGCCCAAAGATTCAGCGCTTTTTCTGTGTGCAGCGCAAAGGTGCGAGTGTTGTGTGAACGCAACGCGCGTGTGATCCTCGCCGTCACATTGTGTCGCCAGTTTCCCGCTAAAATTCTCGCCGCGCTTCGGGGAGGGATCGTCTGCAAAGGTGGCGGTTTTCTCGCAGCGAAAGGAATACGGACAGAACGTGAGCTGTTTTGCAACTTCCAAATGAGGACTTAATGAAGAGTTGGTCTCGACAGGGAGAATAAAGGTTCCGTGCTTCATCACTCAGGTTCGGTCGAACGTCCATCGGTTATTTTCTGGGTGATTATATAAATTATGCAAATTGAGTCGGAAAAGATTTTGGGTCAGAAAAGATCATGCAAAAACATGTATTAATATTTATCTGCTGAGCGTATTGAGTGCTGGTATAAATGCCTCATGACATATGGTCATTTTCACGTGTATGTCACCCAAGAGACATTTCTGCTGTCATATTCAGATTACTTTCAGGTTGAAATATTTTGATTGTAAGAAAATATACGTCTCCGTATACGTTACTGCATTTCCACAACCATGCATGCACGTTAAAGCCTGTCTCTGGAAATCCGGTTCAGCAGACAATTAGCCACAAGGGCCCTTTGGGCTCACGTACACACCAGCAGCCAGGTCATATGATGGTGAAAATGAATGCCAACTTCCTGGTCTGGATTTGGGTCCGTGTCTTTCTTCAAATAAAGAAGTCAAGATGAATGGGCTGTCATTGGGTCAAGTTTGAAATTGAAAGATCTTCTTCTCTCTTGGAATTCTGACAAGTGATTGATAGGTCTGTCAACGTGACTAACTGATTATTCATTAAGATCAATCATGCAATCCGATGAATATCCCGGGTGCATTCATTCGAAGCATCTTTTACGACTTCCAGCACAGGAATCATTTAAAATGGTTGCTGTGGGGAAAGTCGAAAAATGCTTCGTCATCTCCATTTTTTCATGTCAACATCCTGTAGGCCTAAATTACTTTTTGTTGACGGCTTGCAGGGCCAAGATTTTATCCAGCAGGTGAAAAGATGAACAGGATACAGTACTGTAAA